ATCTACCTTTTTGTAATCCTCTGAATGCTAATATTAATTATGCTCTTAAGGTATTCCAAGTAATGTACTCTAAATCACAGATTTTATCTCCTTGCCAATTTACTCATTTGACCCTTTATAACTTAAAAGATGAAATTTTAATAATGAAATCAAATGCTGAATAAAAGAGAGAGAGAGTCAGCCAGCCAGACTAAGCAAAGGGGTCTTATACAACACTGAATATAGCTCAGTGGTAGTACTTGGCCAGCATCTGTAAGGCCCCATGTTCCATTCCCAGCATCCCCTCCCCCAAGTGAATGCTGTTCATTGGTGTGATGGTTAGTCTAATTGTCTACTTGACACAATCTAGACTCACCTGTGAGATGGACTTCTGGACCTGCCCATGGGGGTTATCTCACTTGCATTAATTGAAAAGTTTATTAGTGAAGCTAGTAGTCACTTTTCCATAGCTGTCGTCAAACACCTTACAAAATGACTTAGAGGGACATTCTTTAGTTTGGCTTATGATTTCAGACGCCTTCTACACAGTGTCATGGTCCCAAGAATGACTGACTATAAGGGTTTGTGGTGAAGGACGGATAGATCTTCACATACCCATGTAGTAGGAAGAAAAGAAAAAAAATCAGGTGTCTGGTGACATGGCTGAGCATTTAAATGCACTTGTTGCACTTACAGAGGAGACTAGGGTTCAGGCCCCACATTCATGTGACAGCTCATAACCATATGTAGCTCCACTTCCAAGGAACCTGGCAACCTCTTCTGGCCTCTAAGGGCACCAGGCATGCACGTGATATACATACATGCATACAGACAAAAACACTCAAGGAAAATTAATTAATTACTTAATTAAAAAATCTTACACACATGCACGTGCGCGCACGCACACACACACACACCCTCTCTCTCAGGAAATGGCCAGGGATAGTATACCCTCAAAGACCCACCCTAGAAGCTTGCTTCCTCCAGTTGGGCCCCACCTCCTAACTTTCCAGAGCCTCCTTAAATAATTCCACCAGCTAAAGGCTTTCTTCAAACCCCGAGCTGTGGGAAACAGGGGTGGTTCCCTGAAGAGGTGTATAAAGAATTCCATGTTCTTAGAAACTGCTGCCTCAGTGGTCTTCATTTGTAAGACAGTCTTAAACTTCTAGAGCAGGCTCTGTTTCTAGCTCTATTCACGATCCTGCTGTGAAGAGGGTTTCCCTTTTACAATAATTATCTTACATTCCTGAAATTATCTTCCAATATTCTGGTTTCTTTGCTAGACTCTGTAGTTTATGAGGGCTGAGATTTCTCAGGGCTTATTTGTTCCTTATATTGAATCCATGTTATTTAGAATGTGATAGAAACAGTATGAAAATGTGGACTTATTTTCTTATTTTATATGTGTGAGCATTTGGGCTGTAAGTATGTGTGTATACCATTTGCCTCCCAGCTTTCTTAGGAAGTAAATTCATACTATTCACAGTTAACAATGCTTGTATAATTTCATATGCACAGAAAGAACTTACGTTACATACGACCTCATCTCTACATTTTCATCATCTGTTATGGATCTCCTTGACATTCTTCTGGCCTCCTCAGTGGCTGATTGGGGACAGGGTCTGAGGTTCCTTCTTATTTGCTGAGTCAAATGTAACTTTGATTTTCATTTATTTGCCATGGTGGTCTGAAACACTTTAAAAGGACCAAGATTCTTGGGTAACAAGGGAAACTAACATGCAGAACAAATTCAGTTTAGTCATGTAAAAGTCAGCATCCTTACCTATGGAATCTGAGTTCGATGAATGTCTGATGTCTTGTCCTTTCATTCTGTACTTTTCTCTGTGTGATTTTACACTGTAGCCTTCCCACAGCTTCCTTATCTACTGTCTGTCACCACCAGCTGAGGTCTCTTGCCAGGATGAGTAACTAAGTTTTTCAAGGCCTTGCTTGTATCTTTCCTTCTGCATAAAGCCTGCCTTGATCACTTTATGTGAAACTGCTCCATCTTCTCCTCTCAGTTCTTTTTCTCTTCATCCATTTTATTCTTTTTCCCCACAGTACTTAACAGTGCTCTAGCATACTACATAATTTATACCTATTTGCTTCTTTTTATTTTCTTTCTTGCCAGAAAATGTTTTGTTATGGTGATAGTTGATAAACAAGTTTATCTTAAATACTTCAACACAGATGACTAATGTATAGAATCATATCACTGATTATTCTATATTTGACCAGTTTGGCTTTTGAGAGACTGAGTTTTTCTTCCTAACCTGTGACCTGTTCCTGGAATGTCCGACACCTTCACATATGTCTTTTCTTTATTTCTTTTCTTTTCTTTTTCTTTTTCTTTCTTTCTTTCTTTCTTTCTTTTTTTTTTTGTGTGTGTGGATTCTGAATACATTTCGAATTTGAGAGAGGGGGGAGAAGAAATAAATGTGCAGATCCATGAGAGTCATGCCTAGAATTTAAAGAACACCCTTGACTACCATCTTGATTCTGTGTTCAAGCATTCTTTAGGCTCATTGCCAGTGAGAAATGAATATACCTACATTAACTAACACAAGTGACGCCTGGGTTTCTCTTGGCCTCCTCGGAGTGCCGAGCAGGTGGCTGTAGGTTGGTTGACCTGGGCCTTTACGTGTCAAATGCACGTGAGTTGGGTTAATAGATTCAAAGGCTTATAGCTCTAAGTCCTGACAACTAGGGGATTTGGACTTCAGGCTCCAGAGGCCAGAAACTAACAGGCCTGGTTGCTGAGATCTCAGGGTATTGCCCTGGGCAGTGGTGCATCAGCAGCTAGTGTAATCCTTAATTCTGAGCAGCAGGTGGCAGTAGTAGCTGTCAGTGCCTACTAGTTAGAGTTCCCAAACCTGTGTCCCAGGACTTACACCTCCTACCCAGTGGCCCTCCTGTGGACTTTGTAGTGGTTGGTGTTACAGCTTTTGAGCATTGGTAACTGTGGTGATATTTTATTTGTATGTTAATAAAGGTTGCCTGGAAATCAGAAGAAATAGCAAGCCATTTTAAGTAAATGAAGTCAGGCAGTGGTAGCACAAGCCCTTAATCCTGTCACTTAGCAGGCAGGATCTCTGTGTGTTCAAGGCCACTCTAGGGAACAGAGCCAAGCGTGGTGACACACGCCTTTAATCCCAGTACCAACCATAGAGGTCTGGTGGTCTGTACAAACAGACAGAAAGTGACAGAGCTGTGTAGGAAGAGGAAGGGATGTGGCTGGGCTATAAGGGTGCTAATGAGAGAACAGAACAGAAAAGGCATATAAACATGAGTAGACAGGAAGTAACTCACATTTGGAAGCCGCAGAGTTGGTGAGGTGAGATTGGCTGGTGGCTTTCCCTATTTCCCTCATCTCTAAGGTTTTCACCCCTATATTTGGCTCCGTGTTTTTTATTTAATGAGACCATTTAGAAATTCGTCTCCAGGTAACTTCAACTCTTAGGCCTTGGCAGGTTCCTAAAAGTCTTCTGGAAATGAAGGCCCATGGCCCCCATCTTTGTTTCCGCGTCCTCTTTGTCTCCGCCATCCTCCGCCCCTACTGCTCTTGGTACTGTCTTTTCCACTGCTGTAGAGGTGCTGCTGCTGGCGCCCCTGCTGCCTTCTCTGCATGTTGTAAGCTGTGCTTTTGATCAAAGAAAACACCATTTGACCGAAGCTTTTGATTGGGCCCTACCAACAGACTCAGATACCAAATAGTCTGATTATATAGTGAGGAGCAGGATGTAGTAGCATGAGTGTGGGGTACAGGTGAAGGTTTGTATTTGCACCAATCACAGCCCAGCCCAGCACAGACCTTGTAGAAGTCACAAGTCCCACATTGCATCAGTCACTGGCTTCTTGCAGAGTTACTGAGGAGGTACCACCTCCACTCCTGTGTTTTAGGAAGAATAGCTTCAGGGCCATCTAAAGTAACAGAGGCTTGGCTTGCCTGGAATGCCTTCTAAGCCCAGTGCAGGTTGTCTGAAGTGTGTATATATGTTATATATTCTGTATGCATACATAGTTAAAACTTAAAACTGACATTGCCAGAAACATTTGTGTTTTCTAGCATTTAACAACGTTAATAATGCTTAGCTTCTGTTCCCCCCAGAGTTCTGTCCTCTGATCTGTCTCACTTACGTTCTACCTGGTGGTCTTAGAATGGCAGCCATGCTGTGCTGTAGTTCTGTGTTCCCTGAACAGTTTCATCCCTAGATCCACAATGATGATAAGCTGTCCCACCCTTTACATTGTGCAGAGATCACCCTGGCCAAGGATGAGCTTTACTAGGGTACTGAATCACCAGGCTAATAGGACTAGTATGTACCTTCTCTGGGTTTATGAATTCCTAGAAGTTAGTATTAGGTGCTGGTTATGACATGCTAACTGATTCATTGTGCAGCCTTTGACAAATTATTTAACTTTCTGGCCCTGTATTTCTTCACCTGTGAAGCTCAACTAGACTTTTGTTATTGTTTTTACTCTATGGAGTAACAAATATTTTATGTTTTATAACAATTGAAAGCTTCTTTCTATATATGTTACTTCTTCAGCTAGTACTCATGTCATTATGTTGTATTTGATATTTTTATTGACATGGTGCTGCCTATCTAAGTGTAGAGATGAGACTAACACCTAGCAAAGAATTCTGTGTGTGCTTTGTAAGACAGGTAAATCTGCTGTAATTCCTGGTTTGACTGACTAGATAGTTAAGTCCTTAATAATGACCAGTAGCTCAGGGTTAGGCATTATGTATCTAATTTTCTTTTCATTCTTTCCCTTATTTTTTCCTTATTGCTTATGTCTATATTTTATAATTTTTACTTAGAGGACAATAGGATGATAATATCGAATTTTCATAAGTTCTGCTGTTAAATCAGTATTTTATTCATCAGTGTAGTTCCTAGCATCTAGAAGCTTGTCTGGTATATAGTATATACTCCTTAAATGTTGCTTGAATGGATAAATTTGCTTGTATCCTCCCCTCCATCCTGAGTGATTTTCATTTTTTTATTATTTTTAAGAAAGGTGACCCTTGTGATGGTGGGCCTTGATAACGCTGGTAAAACAGCCACCGCAAAGGGAATCCAAGGAGGTAAGTGGAAAAGATTTGCTTGCTAACCTCTTAATTTTTCCGAGTCATTTGCTTATGTTAATTGCTTCATTACCTGTTAATTGGACAGAGATAGCTACTTTGTGTTGTTAATATACCTAGGCTATGAGTAGGCTCTGGCTTCCTGATGTCCCCTCCTACCATGTTTCAGGTTTGAACAGGTATAATCTCCTTGACATCTTGACATCATTGGTCGGTGGCAGACAGGGGAGTAACCCAAGCTGGCCTTGAACTAGAAGTCCTCTTCCTTAGCCTCTCAATTGCTAAGATTACACAAATAATCCACAAAGACTCATTTTCGTCATGTAGTCTCCTCTTTCATAAACTCCAGGCTGTTAATCCCCTAAGGGTAGTTTTATTCATTTTGGTGTTCCAATGGGTTAAAGCGTGTTTCTTGAGAATAGTAGACAGCACCCTTCTTCTTTCTCTCCCTCCTCCATCTTCTTGTTTTTCATGTCAGGGTTTCTCTATGTAACGTTCCTCCCAAGTGATGAGATTACACACACACACACCCCTGCCATGCAGCCAAGCCTTCATAAAAACTTCCTTTCCATGTCACATGCTTTTCTCCTTAGTTCTGGTTCTGCTCTTACTCTCGGCTCATTCCCCTTTCACTAGGTGTTTTATTTGTTGCTGTGGATGATTGATAAGTTTATTGATAAATAAAACTGATTGGCTAGTAGCCCGGCAGGAAGTATAGGTGGGACTAACAGAGAGGAGAATTGAGAGAACAGGAAGGTGGAGCGAGACACTGCCAGCCGCTGCCAGGACAAGGAAAATGTCAGGTACTAGTAAGCCACGAGCCACGTGGCAAAGTATAAATTAATAGAAATCTGTTAATTTAAGATATAAGAACAGTTAACAAGAAGCCTGAGCCATTAGGCCAAACAGTTTAAATAATATAAGCGTCTGTGTGTTTATTTTATAAGTGGGCTGTCAGATTGCTGGAGCTTGGCGGGACCCGGAGAAAAATTCTCCAGCAAGTTTGTTTTGTTTGAGATCTGTGTTCCTTCTCTCCCTCCCTCCCTCCCTCCCTCCCTC